AAGAGGAGCCAGTCTAAGTGAAAAATAACCAGCAATGACCACCATGTTTAAGCACCAGGCAGGAATCCTCCAACTCGGATAGACACCACTTTCCCATTAGTCATGGAACATAAGGGCTCTCATTATTATCATTAATATTATTATTGCTGTGCCAGGGATCTAACCCAGGGCCTCATGCATAGTAGACAAATGTTCTAACATTGAGCTATACTGTCAGCCCCTAAGTTATTCTACTTGGCTGTTAATGAACATAAAAGGCTGGAAAATTTGGGCACCCCCAGATTGTGTTTCAAAAGATTCTATCTAGGATAGAAACCAAGATATAATGTTTAGGATGATAGCAACCGTCATGTTAGACTATGTTGGTGTCTAGGGCTTGGTGTGGATCTGCAGAAGTTGGTACTGATTCTGAGGATACCAGTGGACCCTGAAGGTCTGAGGTAGACTGGATCCCACAACATGCCTTCAAATTTCTGAACAGCTAAGGTATTATTGAGTGCTTGGCAAAACAATTTTTTTCTTTTCTTTTTGGTGCCAGAGATCGAACTTGGGACCTTGCACTTGCCAGGCAGGCGCGGTGCCACTGAGCTACATCCCCAGCCCTTGGCAAGACAATTTTCAAGGGGAACAAGAATGCATGCACAGCTTTATTAGAGTTTGTTGAAGCTATCACTCTCATTCTCCTAGATTGGTGAGGTATTAGTTACCTATAAAGTTATTACTATGACAACTATCATAGACTAGATTTCGCTTTTTTTTTTTTGTTGGAGGTATTAGGGATCGAACCCAGGGCCTCATGCATGCTAGGCCAAGTGCTCTCCACTGAGCTACATTCCCACCTCCCCCCTTTTTTTTTTGGTACCAGGGATCGAACTCAGGTCCTTGCACTTGAGAGGCAGGCCATTCCCACCTTTTTGTTTTATTCTTTTTTTAAAAGGAGTTTTAATTTGGCTCTATCTTATTCTTGAGACAGGATCTTGCTAAGTTGCCCAGGCTGGCCCCGGAACTTGCAGTTCTCCATCCAGCCTCAGTCTCCTGAATAGCTCATATTACAGGTTTGTGTTCATCACATCTCAAAGCTTCAATTTGTATGTAGGAATGTATGTATGTAATGGGGATTGAGCCACCCCCCCAACCCCCCCACCTTGAGACAGAGTTTCCCTAAAGCACTAAATTCCAAATTGCCCATGCTGGGTTTAAACTTGTGACTCTCTAGCCTCAGCCTCCCAGAGTGCTGAGATTACAGTCATGTGCCACCACAGTCTTTGTCCTTTTATTTTTGTTTGTTTGGAAACAAGATTTCTATGTAGCACAGCCTAGCCTTGGAGTTGAGGTCCTTCTGGCTCAGCTTTCCCACTGCTGGTATTACAGGTGTGTATCACCATCCCTGGGTCAAACTTATTAAAACACAAAACAACAAAATAAAGGAGAGAGGAAGAGGGACTACAGTATTGTATTTTATTTGTGTTTTGTTGAGACAAGGTCTCACCGTATAGTTCAGGCTGGTCTTGAACTGACTATGTAGCCCAGGCTGGCCTTGAACTGGCAGCAATCCTCCTGCCTCAGCCTCCCAAGTGCTGGGATTACAGGGATGTGCCACACCCAGAGAGAATATAGTATTTTAAATCCTCAGAGCTCCTGGGAGGAAATCTTCCAACACCAACATTCCAAAGCCTCTAACTCACCTCTGGACATCAGACTTCTTGCTGGCTAAAAAGCAATTGAGGAATGTGTATTAGCAAATTCTTTGGCTAGAGAGCTAAGAAAAGATAGCTTCCACCTGCCCTGTGGGTCTCTTCCATTGTGACACAATGGCCTCAAGGTATTTAGGAAACTCCCATTACTTTCCAACAACTGGTGGGAAAAGTACTACAGACCTGTGCCGCAGAAGCACATTTCAGTCAAGGTCAGATTGTGACAGGTGGTCACCTAAGATTATAACGGACCTGAAAAAGTCCTTTTGCCTAGCCATGTAGCCCAATGTGGTGCGGCTCAGTGCACTCACCATTTAGGTGTTTGTGCCGATGGTGGTGTAAATAAACCTACTGCGCTGCTGGTCCTATGAAAGATGTACAGTACACAATACCTGAGAATGATAATAAACCACTGTGCTAATGGTTTGTGTATTTGCTATTCTATTTTATCATTGTTCTATACTCCTGTGTATAAAAACAGGTGACTGTAAAACATGATGCTGTGTTACCTTGGCAGCAGCCTTGTACCGAATCTCTTGATTGCATCTAGAGGCGCCTTGAATAACTGACCTGCAGCATTTGGGTTTGTGTAAGTCCGTTCTAGGAAGTCCGAGCACCACCTACCAATGGAAATGCCTGCTGAGCATTTCTCAGATCACCACTGTTGTTAACCAACACCTGGCTGGCCGAAGGCAAGAATTTCTGCTGGAGAGGTTATTCAGTTGAGAGAGTTTTATTCTCCTTAATACTGAAGGAGCAAAATGTCCTCTTAAGGTACTAGACTTTCTGTATATGACACATTCCATTTTTTAAAAAATGTGAGGGCCAGGGAGTAGTCAGTGGTAGAGAGCCTGCCTGGAATGCACGAGGACCAGGTTGATTCCCCAGTACCACAGAACAAAAAAGCCAAAGCAGCAGTACAGTTATTGATAACATGTATGTGTGGGGGTCTACATAGTAAATACTGTGTATAGATGAACTGAAAGACATGGCTGGGTTTCAGAAAGAATAAATATCCAAACAAAGAGCAAACTTTGGACATAATGAAATATGAAGAGCCACACAGAAGATCATGTAATGTCATAATAGGAGGTGTCAGGGATCACAATCCCTTGGCATCACTCACTGTTCCTACACATGCTACACAGGTCACAGAAGCACTTCAGTTCCTGTCCAATGAGGAAGGAAGGACAGTGAAACATACTGTAGTACTGTGTAGCTCCGCCAGATGTGCACACAGTCCCAGCACTATGGGAGGCTGGAAAGTTCAAGGACAGCTTGGGCAACTTACTGAGACCCTGTATTGAAAAATAAAAAGGACAGGGGATATAGCTCAGTGCAAAGGCCCTGGGTTCAGTCCTCAGTACCCCCCTCCACAGAGCAATGTGTAACTCAAAATATGTCCATTAATGTACAAAAATAAAAATTCAGATGTCCAAAAACAATTGTTCAGGGCCAGGGATTTAGCTTAGTGGCCCCAAGCCTGCCTTGCAAGTGCAAGGTCCTGAGTTTCTTCCCCGGTACCAAAAACAAAACAAAACAAAAAAACCAAAAACAATTGTTCGAAAGTTGAACTGTGCGATTTTTAAGTTTATGTTATTGTTTCATTTTTTTTTCATGGTGCTGGGGACTGGAGATGCTAGGCAAAGCACCTTACCGCTGAGGTTCAGCTCCATCCCTTATGATCTAAGTTTTAAATTCGTTGTTTTAAGGTGATAAAGTCTGAGGTAATTTGATATGTAATAACAGATACAAACACAACAAGCAAGGATTTTACAATAGTGAACATAAATATGTTTAAAGGGCTATTGGAAAAGATGGAAAGAATGTGAACAACTTGGGAATTTCAGTTTATAGATTTTCAAAACCTCATTTTATAGTTTCAGCGAGTAAAGGGAAGTTTATTTTCCTATTTCCATAAGATTAAAACGATTCTCTTACTTTATTTTTTCCCACGATGTAGTCTACTTCAGCAAAACAGTACACCATGTGCTATTTTGGCCTCTTGGGAAACATGGCATGTTCGAGTTTGCTAGAAAGAGATAATGATCGCTTTTAACCACACATCTCACTGAAAGTTCATCGGGATATAGGTCTAGAGAGAAAATGACGGCAGGGAGTGGCAGCAGGGGGGACACAGAAATACCTCAGTTGCTAAGATGAGAAACGGGCAATGGGTGACCTAATTTAGGGTTAGTTGTAGAACCATTATCTTCCAACTGTATATTTCTGACACCTACACTTTTCCTAAGAGATTTCGTAATTTTACAAAACAGTCCTAGTGTATTTTTATTCTTAAATAAAATATAAAAATCATTAGCTAAAATTCTATAGCCGATTTAAAAATGAACAACAAAGATTCCTGCCCTCTGAATGTTCCTTCTTGCTTATTTTGTTGCAATCAGAAACTGAACAGCGTTTTTAGATCCGGCATTTATTCGTGAGATGAAGATATGCCATTTTAAATGATTTTTTCCAACTCTGGGAAATTTATTTCTGAAACGTGTAATTGCTATACAATAATCCAAGTGGAACTGTGACGCAATAACGTACTGCAAGTTGCCTTACAAAAAATGATGTCATTTGGCGCAGATCTACTTTTATAAGAGGGAGCTACGGCAAAGCTCTCTCCTTGTCCCCGGTTTCCCATCGCAACGTGTGCAAGATGCAAAACATTTCCCGGGCCTCCTATCCCTCAACCTGTCCACGGTGGGTGCACCTAAGTGGCTCGGGGCCCACCGCTCGTGCAGGCGGACAGGGGCTGCTCAGTGGGGACATGCACCGCTGAGCATCCCCAGCCCCGACGGCGGCAGCGGCGCTGCGGAGGAAGCCGCGTCGGGCCGGGGCCGCGGGGCCGGGCTGCCGGGGCGGGACGGCGGCGGGGACGCGGAGCGCCGCGGACTCGGGACAGCCCTCCCCCAACCGGTTCCCACACTCGGTCCCGCTCCCGTGGCGCCGGAAGTGACGCGCGCGGGACTGAAAGATGGCGGCATTGGCGCTCGACCAGGGGGAAGGTAAACACCCGCCAGGCCCCGCGCTGGCCCCCTCGGGGCGCCGGTAGGGGCCGAGGGGCCCACCCTGGGCCTACTCTCCACCCTGCGGCTTCCCACCCTCCGCCCCGTCTTAGCGTGGCGGGCTTCCTCCTCCAGACCACAGCGAACCGGGGCCCCCTGCCGGCCGACCCCGCCTCCCTGGGCGGGCCCCGGGCGGCTCCCGCGGCCCGCAGGGGGCGCGAAGCCCGGAGCGGCCCCTGGCTCGTGGCCCCGCACGCCCCGCCCCTTTCCCGCCCCTTTCCCGCCTTCCTCCACCCCCGGCGTGGGTGATCCTGAGGCTCGGCGCGCTTCGGGGCAGAAGCCCGGAGACGCCGTCGTCGACGTCGCTACCGCTGGCGCTTCAGCCGCCTCTCGTGGCCCCGGAGCCCCTTCTCCCGCCAGTGGCCCCAAGTCGGCCCTCCAGCCCAGCCCCGCCGGGCGCTGTGACGCTCTGGCGTTGCAAGGCAGGCGTTGCAAGGCCGGCCCCGACGCCGTGCCGCCCCGCGCCTAGCCGCGCTGCACCGTCTTCTTCCCCAGGACTGGTTCCAAGGGGGTCGCAGGCGCGCAGACTCGGCCCCCCGCCTGAGCGACCCCTTGTAGACGTGCGAGGAACCTGCGGAGTGCCGTCCCGGCGCCCGCCAGCCCACCGATCGGCCCGCCGGCCCCCTTCTTCCTGATGCAGACTGCCGTCCACTAGAGGCTGGACAGGACCCCCGAGGTGCGTAGCCGCCCCTGGCCGCCGGCCTGCCCGCCGAGCCCGGGCTTCACCCGTGGCCCCGAGCGAGGCACGGATCCCGTGGCCCTCTGCACCGACCCGAGCCGAACATTTGGTAGACGCCAGGACCCAGTTTGTCTTTGAGTTTACTTAAATTGTTTGAAATGCAATTTTTTTTCAGAGAGAGCGAGAGAGAAAAAGGAAGAAGCATAATTCAGCCATTTTTTGCAGCACACAGCTGCAGGTACCATGATTATTTTCCCCCAACCCGTTCCTTCCCTTTAAAAATTGTATTTATGTCTGAAACAGAACTATGCGAAATGCGAGGTATAAAACGTGGAATCAGAAGGTCTGGATTCGACTGGGTGATGGAGAAAAATCGCGTACCGAGCCTCCGTTTTCTATCTGTGAAATGTAGTCGGTAATACATCATAGGGTAGTGAACACTATATGAGGTCATATACATGAAAATAATCTAAAGTGTTGTAGAAATGCAGGGCCGTTTTTAAAGTAACCTTTGCCGGAGTGGTTAATGTTGTAGTGGCTAACTGTTGCTGCTGCTTTATTTCTGTATTATAAGTGTAAGCAAATAAGTACGGAATAGCAAAGCACTGCTGTGAATCGATAGATATATAATAGTCACGTTGCTTGGCCTTCCTCCTACAAAATGCTAACTGCTTATTTAAATAACGGTATTCTTTAACTCAAATTTAATGTTACTGTTGGGCTTTGCTTTTCATCTTTATAGGCCGCTTAGGCTCCCTTTTTTACTCAGAATATTTAACACCTTACTTTTGGTTAGTCTCTTACATTTTTCGAATTTGTCTTCCTTTGTTAATCTGATTAAATTGTAATTTGGAAAATGCTTTTTAGATGTATATGCCCTAATTTTAATGTCTGTTTTTCATATCTAGAGAATAGAATGCCTGAATATCTCTACCCATTTGAATATTGTTTTTGAAGCTTGAAGCGCTTATGAATGCATTTATATCTCTTTATGTATTCTTAGTAGATATAGAAATGAATAGAAAATTTCAACTTTTGGCACTTAATGTAATATTTGTATAATTCTTATTTTTAAAATATCACAACATTTAGGTGCTTTGAGTCAGTTTATCAGCAGTAAAGAATGTTAATTTCCACTTTTTGCTGCTGATTAATTTGGGGAAAGAAAAAGATAGTAAATATTTGTGGTTTGAAAATTGAATTTATTTGCCAGAATTTTTATGTGTAACAGATCAGTATGGAATCATACTTGGCACATTAAAAATGTATAGCTTGGCTTAAAAATGGTTCACAAAAAGTGACAAGCATTTTGGGGGTTATATTATTTTTAGTTGACGTGGTTTTCTGAGTAGTTAAATGTTTTATTAAATTTATAATTGTTTATTTAGTCCAGTATCAGTTGTCTTTCAAAGTATGGTTTTGTGTTTTGTAAAAAGAATGATGTAAAGTGGATGGGATTAAAATTGCAAAAGGAAGAGTCCACATTCAAGTAGTTGCTTTTATACAGTGGATCCATTGCTTGTCCTGAAGATAAAATTTTGGCAAATCACAGCTTTATTGAGAATTTCAAGGTTTGACCTTTTCTCTGCTTTGATTTGGGTTATTTGGGTTATGTCCTAAAATGTTGGAACTAGGGCTGGCATGGCTTGGATCTTCACAAGAGTTCCCACACTAGTTTTAGTAATTTGCAGGTAAATTGGCATCATACAGTATAAATGTGAATGGTAAAATCTGTGCTAATAATTTATTTGAAATTTCAGTTTTTCTTAGAAACAGCACATATACAGCATGACAAGTCAAGAAAGATGTAAGAAAGGAAAAAACTTTCTATTTTAGTACCTTTAACATTTTTTTTACCTTGCTTCTGAACAAATGATGTTGCTAACCCATTGTCAAGCTTGACCTTTCCCAACATCTTTTGAGAGTGAATAACACTCACTTTGAGGAGAATGAATCTTGAGCTTAGAGATAGATTAATTTATTAGCATATATTTTCTCTGAATTCAAATGATATAGCTCCTGTGGATTTTTTAAAATTGAAGAGCAATGAAAGACAGTCATTGGTGAGGGAGTCTAGAATATTGGTGAGCCAGGAAGTCTCTGAAGTCAGGCAGACCCTAGCTCTACATCTTCCTAATAACTGTGCCCTTGGACAGGTTACTTAATCTGTGAGCTTTGATTTTTCTCCTCTTTAAATCAGGAATAGTTATAGAATATGGAGGTTTGTGAGGATTAAATGTCTAACAAGTGTTTAGTAAGCACTTATTTTGTGCCAAGCACTGTTCTAGGTGCTGGGGATACAACAGTGAAACAAAACAAAAAAATGTTTAAAGCAAAAAAGCTAATAAGTAGATAAAACAGAGCATCTACCTCACCATTTAATCTACTACGGAGAAGAAGCAGAGAGGGAAGATTGGAATTGTGTGAGCCAATGGGGAAGATAAGGTTTTGCAATTTTAAAAGAAGGTGCTTGAGGAAGGACTGACATGACACTGGAGTAAAGAAAAAGATCCAAAGGGACCTGTAGATATGTGGATAAAGTGATCCTGGTAGAGGGGACCCTTAAGGTGAGAGTGTGGCTGATTTTCAAGGAATAGTGGCAGTAAGAGGCAGAGTAAAAGAAAATTATTATTGTCATTTAAGAATCATCAGAGAGGCTCTTACAGGTCATCTCTGCCTTGGGGACACTGCATTGCTGCTGGTTCCAAAAGTGGAAGACCATTTCAGAATTAGAAATTTTAACTTGTCAGTGCGTGTGGTACTGGGGATCAAACTCAGAACCTTTCTCATGCTAGGCAAGTGCTCCACCACTGAGCTACACCCCCAGCCCAGAAATTGTAAATTTGGACTAAGCAAAGTAGGAAGGGCAAAATAGGTTCTCAGTTTTCTCTAATATAAGATCTTAAAGCTCATCTGTCTGAATCATTGAAACAAATAAAAGCAGACAGAAAAATTATCCTTTGTCCTTGATAAGATCTTTTCATTTAATGATTCTGCATCATGAACTTAAATATTTGGAGAAAATCTGTATCATAACATCAAAACCTCCAAAAAATTTAATTTAGTGGTATAATTCTTGGGAGAACTAAAATGCTAACATTACAGAATTGCTGAATTCATGTTAAAGTGTGACTTAGAAGATTTGGGGTTTTATTCCCCAATAGAGGCTTTTCCTAGAATTCTCACTGGATCCAGTCTCTGAAGGCTAGGGAAGCTGTTTTCCATGACCTCACTCTTGGACTACTTCTACTTGTAGTGAGGAATAAGCAGAGGAGTAAGCAGAAGAGCATTAAATTATCCTTATGAAAAGTAGCATTGGAGCAGTGGGTATTTTTCTTATAAGTGTGTTATAGGATGACTAAATGCTAAACATAACTGAAAAGTGAAGTAATTTGTATACTAGGTACCAACCTAGAGGCTGGAGGACCCAGAGCCTTCTCAATAGTTCAGTTAAGTAGCCGTTTGCAGCTTGGTGTACTGAGTTATAAAAATATTTTGATGACAAAGAATTTGTAATATTAAACAAATTAAAGTTAACTTAATGCAGCCCATCCTCTTATATTAAACTGAGTTGTTTCTCAGTTTGAGTGGTGTAGCTATGAGGGTAAAATGTCTGCTTTCAGGATTTTCTTTCGTTTAGATTGGTGCTTGAGAAGTTGTCCTCTGAGGTGATCGAATTTAAAATTACTTTATAGGTTACTGAAATTGTGAGAAAGGTTATAATTTGGACATTAATTCTGTCTTATCTCTAGTAAGCCTTGCATTCTTTTTAATATGCAAGTGTGGCCTTTTTTTGCATAGGCATCAGTTTTGGTAGAACAATTTGAGGATGAAGGTAGTATGAAATGATTTAAACTTTCCGTTGAAGATAAGCTTATTAACCTGAGAACCTAGTTCTTGTACAGAATAGTTTAGAGTTGTTTTTTTTTTAATGAGTTTTCAGGTAACTGGGAAGAATGTGAAAGCAATAAATCATTTCTTACATCCTAAACATGAAGGTGAATTTTGAAACAGCTTCTTCTTAATTGCCTAGAATTTTGCCTTCAAATCAGAATAGCAGCCTTCTAACTAAAAAGGAAGCATTTAATTTCTTTGCCTTTCATTTCCTGTCCAATCTTACCCCACCAGACTTGTTTCCTTACTGGTCAATAGAGGGTTCAAACTGTTACAAATTTCTGTGACCTAAATAGCAGTGATGGTCTTCTGAGGCAGAGATGGGAAGAGGTGGGGTGGGCGCGGGGGCGGTCACTTATTCCTTATTACACCTTCAGTGAGACTAAAGCCTTTTGGTCCCAGGACCTCTGTACTCTTAAAAAACATTATTGAGCCTAAAGAGCTTTGATTTATATGTGTTGTATTGATTTATAGAAATTGAAACCGAAAACTTTAAAAATAATTATTTGTAATTCATTCTGAAGAACAGTGCATTAAATGGTTACTTAAATCCCATTTTTTATAAAAATAACTATTTACTGAGGGCCGGGGATTTAGCTCAGTGGTTTCGTTGCCTGCTGTGGAAGCGCAGGGACTTGAGTTCAATCCCCGGTACCAAAAAAACAAACAACAACAACAAAAAACTATTTACTGAAACAATAACTTGATGAGAAGAGTAACATCATTTTATAATTTCATAATTTTTTAATTTTTTGAGACAGAGTCTCCCTATGCAGTTTAAGCTGGGCTTAAACTCATTATGTAGCCCAGGCTGGCCTTGAATGCACGGAGATCCTCCTGCCTCAGCTTCCTGAGTGCTGGAATTACAGACATGAACTGCCATGCCTAGTTTACAGATATTTTTAATGTGTGGCTTAATTAAAGACTAAGGGCTCCTCATCAGCTTCTGCATTCACATTATTCAAAAACACCTGGAAATCACAGAGGATAAAGATGAAAGAGATAACTTTAAAAAAATATTTTGGAAATAGTAATTTTGACATTGGAAAGTCCTTTTGGGGGTACTATGACCCTCAGATCTCCCTCTACTAACCGTGTACAAAAATATGAGAGTTTTTGCAAGTGCTTCTACCACTGAGCCATGTCCCCAACCTTTTAAAAAAGTGTCAGTATCAAGTTGATGAAACAAGATACTCTCTTCAGTATTTCTTTCTTAGTAGTATAAATATGCCTTGTAATTTGATCTAATACAGGTTCATGCACCTTTTGAAAAAAAATCCACCATTTGAAATTCTGGAGGCCAAGGATGCAGTATATACATATTAGGTGTATAAGTCATCTCCATTATTTTGATGAGCCATCTTGAAAAGTGAGAATACAGAGTTTCTAAATATTGAACATTGGATATCAGTAACTATTTTTCCCAAAGCCTCTTAATGGATTTTTGTCCCCAGCTCTCATTGACTCATAGAATTATTTGAAGTTTGTGTTTTGCAATGTAAGCTTTTGTAATTATTAATTTCTTCCTTAAGTTGGTGTAATTCTGTATTTAGAAAATTCTTATGTATAAGGTTTTATATATTTTTCTTTTTGTGGTTTTACGTTTTCCTTTTTCTATTTATTTTTACTTGTATGTGTTTTTTTGTGTTGTAGTTGGTTTTGTTCTGTTGTAAACCTCATTCATTCTAAGTCCTTTTTTTTTTTCTTTTCTTCATAGCATCCAGGGTATGGATTGTGAGCAAGTTGGTTTTGTTTCACGTGTTCATTTGTAAGTTTGGTTGTTTGATGCCTTAAACATTGATGTTATAGATTGTGCTGTCCAGTAGATTTTAATGCAAGCCACATATGTATTTTAAGTTTTCTCATAGCTACAATTGGAAAAATACAAACAGGTGAGATTAATTTTAATATATTTTATTTGACCTATAAAATTATTTCCAAAATATTTCAACATATAATCAGTATAAAATTTATGAGATAGTTATACATTCTTTTCTGTACAAAGCCTTCAAACTCTTGTGTTTATTTTATACTTAAAGCACATTTCAATTTGCACACCAGCCTCATTCCTAGTGATCTAGAGCCTCGTGGCTAGTGGCTTTCAAAACGACATAAATAATAGAGTAATTCTGGTTAGGGCAAAAAAGCCTAAGGAGTACATTAGTAAAGCTAAAAAATTATACTTGCATGATAAGAAAAAATGGAGAACAATGCCATCGCAAGACAATGTCCAGAGTTTTGGACATTGAGTACATCTCTGGATCGCCTATACACCTGCATTGTGATGCCCCCAGGGAAGTGTGGGATGTGTGCAGAAGAGATGGAAGGGTGTCGAGTCCCTCTGGGCTTTTGGGTGTTCAAGAGCATTAGGTAGGAGTTGTATGAAAGATTGACCTCTGGTAGGGTTCTTTGCTCTGGGCTAGATATTTAACTTGCATTAATTTAGTCACCACCCAACTCAGTAAAATTAGTCTTTAGTTAATCCTAATATATGAGTGGAAATCAAGATCAGAAGGTTAACAAAATTCCTCAGTCACACAAGTGGTAAATACTAGTAAACATTCAGATTTCAGAGGATTTGCTCTTTGCAGCCATACTACTTTTGTATATTTTACAAATCAAATTCTAGTCTTAACTCTGTTCCTTTCTCCTTTTTTTTTTCTTGGTACTGGGGATCAAACTCAGGTCCTTTTGCTTGCACAGCAGGCGGTGAAACCACTGAGCTAAATCTCCCACCCTCTTTCTCCTTTTTTATGATACTGGGGATGCCCAGGGATACTCTACTGCTGAGCTATAGCTTCAGCCCTTTTAATTTTTAAAATTTTGAGACTAGAGTTTTGCTAAATGCTAAGGCTGTCCTTGAACTTGGGATTCTGCCTCATCCTCCAGAGTGGCTGTGATTATAGGCGTCCATCACGGCACCTGGTTCTTTTTTTTTTTTTCTTTTTTCCCAGTGCTGGGGATTAAATCCAGGGCCTCACGCATACTAGGCAAGTGCTCTACTGCTGAGCTACACCTCAAGGCCTTTAACTCTATTTCTAACTAGTTGTGTGACTTTGAATAAAGTCACTTCACTTGTGAACCTTTGTGTCTTCATCTGTGAAGTTAAGAGTTGATCTGGGTCTTGAGAATGTGGGCTTTGGTTAGAAATGCTATTGCTGGGGAGAATGGTTTCTCTGAAGTTAACTGGGTCAGGTTTATTATTTAACTCCCAAATTTAAGGCTCAGGTTTACTATTTGGATTCCAGTCGCACCAAGGAGAAGGGGGTGAAATGATAAGCCCTAAAATTATTATATACTTAGGGGCCATGCACAGTGCTAAGTGCTTTACATGTACTCATTTATTTAATTCTTGCAACCTATGAACTAGATTCTATTAATGTTAGTACCTTCTTTTTATAGATGAGGACATTAGGGCCCAGAGAGTCTAAAGAGTTTGCTCCAACATCACAGAGCTAATAAAAGTAGAACCAAGATTTAGTCCCTGGCACCTGACTGCAGACCTGTACCCTAACTCACTGCTTCTTTCCATGGTGGCCAGCTAACCACTGAGCATTTCTTTGTTTTCTGCTTCCTTACATGTTTACCGTAGAAAAAGGAAAACCCTGCTGCTGCTCTAAAGCTGTTAGTCTTATTGATAGGTGCACTAAGCTTTTTCAGGTAGAAGTTACTGCATATGCCCCAGCTACCACAAATTACTTATGGAAGTCAATTTAGATCAGGTAAATTTGATGAATGCATTGGTAAGACTTTTTTTTTCCTCTTTGTGATATTGGGGATTGAACTGAAGGCCTTCGCACTGAGCTACATCCCCAGCTCTTTTTTATTTTTGATTTCAAGACAGGGTCTCACTAAGTTGCCCAGGGTGGGCTTGAATTTGGGATTCTCCTGCCTCAGCCTCCCAGAGTGTTGAGATTACAGGCATGTGCCACCACGCCCAGCTCATTGGTAAGATTTTAAAAATAGCTATAGTTTGTTTATGTTGTATATTCATATAAGTACATTGCCTATCTGTAAAATCATATAAAAAAGTAAGAGAATAAATGAGAATTTTATGACTCAAAGTTTCAAAATCATGTCTGATGCTCTCAGCTTTACAGATGCAGAAAGAAAACCAACAGTGTTTAAGTACCTTAAAGATACTTCTGTTCCACAACTGTTAGATAGAACCCTTGGTTATAAGTAGGAGAAATCAACTATTAATAGCAAAAAGGGGAGAATTTAAGAATGTAAGCAGCCTGGGCAACTTAGCTACTTAGTGAGACCTTGTCTCAAAATTAAAAAAGAATAGGGGATGTAGCTATGTGAAGTCACTGGATTCAGTTCTCAATATCAGAAAAAATTTGGATAAACAAGACCAAATTGATAGCTTACTTTGAATGTATCTGTAAAGTAGCTCTGACAAGCATTATTACATTGTCTTGTATATGTTTTATATATATCTGATATATACACATATGCATTTAAAAATATTTATATATTTCTTTTTGTGTGTGTGTGATACTAGAGATTGCATCCAGGGCTATTGCAGTGAGCTACATCTCCAGCCCACTTTTTTTTTTTTAACTTGGAGGCCGGATCTAGCTAAATTGCCTAGGCTACGCTTGAACTTGTGATCCTCCTGCCTCAGCCTCTCAGAGTGCTGGGATTACAGGCATGTGCTACCACATCTGGCTTTATATATGACATGGTGAATGTTTAAATTGAAAAAAAAAAGTTTACAGTAAAAGCCACATTGCAATTAATTCCCCTCAAAATACCCTCTCCCTTCATTTTGAACATACTGTTCTCATCATTCTTGCCACTTTTTGAAGCAGTTCTAGAAGTCTTCTTTTGTGAGTGTCTTTAGTTGTGCTGTTATGGCTGCCTTGATGTCTTAGATCAATGAAAAACATTTACCTGTCGTGTCATTTTGACTTTGGGGAAGAGCCAGAAAGTCACACAGTGCTAGATCCAATTAGATCAATTCTAACTGGGGAATATATGACACTTTTTTTTTTTTTTTTTTGGTACCAGGGATCGAACTCAGGACCTTGTACTTATGAGACAGGTGGCGGCACCACTGAGCTAAATCTCTGGCCCTGTCATGCTGTTTTTTATGCACATTGTTTCTTAAACATTTTAATAAACCCTTATGATATTCAGAGTTCACTGTAGTGTTCCTTAGTATAAACTCTGTTTTTTTCACATGAGGAGAGCTGACCACTTTGCATGGAGAACTCTGAACCTTGGTCTCAGGATCATAACCATAGACCCAAGTTTCATTTCCTGTGCTGATATTTCTTTTCTTTTTCTTTTTTTTTGGTGCCAGGGATCGAACTTGGGACCTTGCCCTTAGGAGGCAGGTGATGGAACGACTAAGCTGAATCCCCGGCCCTGATGGTATTTCTTAAAAAGTTAGAATCTGAAGTGGCATGAAATTGACAAAATTTCATGTTAATTCATTATTCATGATCTATGATTTATGGGATACTTTAAAACACACCTTTTCTCAACCATAGCTCACAACTGACTACCAAACAAGCTGAAACATGTCACACACACTGTTACTAGGGTTCAGTGTACCCCTTGTATTTTTTTTTTTTTTTT